AATCCACATTTGGGTTGAGGTGGCTGGAGGAGGAGGGGACTGACTGCAACATGGCAGAGAAGAGCCCCATGGGATCTGTTGTCCCCTTCTACCCAGGAGGTCTGTTTCCTAAGCACTTCTCTTCTTGAACCAGAGAGCTTTTTGAGCTTGTTTTTTTAAGGAAAGCTGTTCCCTTTCTCAAGACACTGTGCTGAACCATGCTAGATATACACCATCGCATTAAGCGCTTAACAACCCTGGGAATAAGTGGTATCAAACCCATTTAACTGATGAGAGGATCCAGAGCCAAAGAGGCCAAGAATCATGTCTAAGTCACACCGATGACCACTGGCAAAGCTGTCTAAACAGTGATGTTCTTCACTGAACAGACAATTGCATTCATCCCTGCTATGTGTCAGGCACTCTGCCCAGCACTGGGATCCGTGGTGACCCCAATAAGTTGAGGTTCTTGATCTCATGGACCTACCAAGCAGGGAAGGAGTGGGAGTCAGGAAAGAATGTCAGTTGGGTCAAATCAAGTCAATCCGTGATTAAAAACTCTTTTTGCATCAGCAGGTATCACATACTTTTAATATTCCTTTACATTCTAGTTTTTAATCATAAAATTGCAAACAGAGGTAATCGGTGTTCAAGCATAACTTTCAATGTATTTTAATAAAGAACATTTTATATCAGAGAAAAATCTCTATTACCACGTGGTGCAGTCTTACTGTGGCTCAGTGGATCCCAGTAGATGTACCCCAGTCAAGCTCATGCTGCCTTAGGCACCACCGCCACCTGGTGGTAGGTATCAGAATTGCAGGCTTGGTGGCCAAGGGAATGGCCTCTGGGGAATGCTAATTTATGCCGAAAAGGCTCATTTTCTGTCCTAGCCACCTAAACCCATGCACTGTTTGTTATGTTTCAATTGGTGCCTGGTCATTTGTAAAGTGGTTCCAGCTGGATCCGTTTCAGCTTCCCTCTGTCTGAAGTCCCAAACGTCTACCGTGTTCATGACCTTTGAAGTGTTTCGTTATAAACAAATTAACATTTGCAGGTACTGGTGATAAATGTGTATCATTAAATTTAGATGAATACCTGAGGATGAACTCTAGAACCAACTGATGCAAGTGGTGGTCCTCTCTTTTGGTGCACACCTTCAGGTGCCATAAAAGGACCTTCACGGTTTGGCCGCAGACTGCCTCCCAGCCTCCACTCTGCTCAAACCTTGCTTTCCATTTCAGAAAATTCCTAAGCTGTCCCTCGCCTGCCCTCTGCCTTTGTGTTGTTCCCTCTACCTGGGACTACCCCCTCTACCTTTCCCTTCTGAATTTATTCAAGGTTGACAGTCTGTAGGGAATGCTACAAAATGTCCTTAAAGTCAGGACTGACAGTGTGGGTATCACAGTGTCTCAGAGAAATAGACAAGGCCGTTCTGAACCCTTCTCCCTGTCGTCCATAGCTGTGATGGAGCCATTTGCTTACTCCCTCTCTATCTCTGTGGTTTCATCCATTGCATAGGAACCAAATCCCCTGCCTTCAGCATTGTTTCAAAATTGGAAGAAAAGATACATGAGTTGCTTCCTCAGCACAGTGCCTGGGACCTAGCCAAAGCAGGGCAGGTGGCTCTGGGCTTCATTTAGATACTGGCACTTTGATCAGAACCTACCCCACATAGTTTTGTCAAGCAAATGGTTTCTATTGTTTGCTTGGTCTTGCTTGCAGAGTAAAAATAAAAACAAACAATATCCAAAAAAAAATCTGTTTCCTGATTTTAAAAATAATATAAATGCCCAGCTGAACTTCCTGGAGTTCTCATCCACCTAGATCCATCAGTGTGTCACCCGAGTGCTGGTAAGCTTCCCCCGCTTTCCAAGAGCTGCACCAACTTGCAAATAGGGGTGAAAGCTGCCGCGCGATGATGCCATTTCCAGCGAAGCTGTGTTAGTAGGTCCGTGGTTCATCGGGCATCTTCGTGCTGGCACCTGGAGCCAGTGGCTTAGTCGCTGAGGTGTGTCCTAATGTGCTTTCTCTGGGTTTGCCCCACGATTTTAAATGTCACTCTGTTTCTCTGACCAGGTAGTCGATAGCGACAGACCAGAAGGCTCCAAGTTCCGGCTCACTGGAAAGGGAGTGGATCAGGAGCCTAAAGGAATTTTCAGAATCAATGAGAACACGGGGAGCGTCTCGGTGACACGGACCTTGGACAGAGAAACGGTGGCCACTTACCAAGTGAGTACGCCTCATGCCCACCCTGGGTGTGGAGATGTGGCTTTCAGTGATGGTTTTCTTCCCACCGAGCTCATTATTTCCGTGCCTCATCAAACCCAGAACTGCGTGGCTTTAGGGTATCTGTGAGAGAGCTCAAGCAAAGCTGAACCCCAGCAGGGTAACAGTGGGGGTCGCTATCTCATCAGCAGAGCCCCCCAGGCCTGTGCCAGACTTTGAGTACTGGAGGCCCAGAAGGGAAACCCTGGGGTGCCTCAGAGGAGGTTGGAACCCTTAGGTGACTTTTGCCTTTCCAGAAACTAGTATGATGATCAAAAACTGTAAAAGGTACAAGGCCCCAGGCCCAATAATTCAACTTTCAGTCATCCATCCTAAGGAATTAAGTTAGATTTTCGTACAATATCGCTAGAGCAGAACATGGTCCTTAAAGTGGAAACAATGACGAAATCTTCAACCACAGAGAAGAGTGAAATCATGGCACGCTTTACACAGCAGTTTTCTACTACCATGTAAAATATTTTTGAACGAGACTTGATTATACAGAAAAGATTCAAGATCTCAAATCAAACTGAAACACACAAACACGTAGGGCACCCTCTCATTACACGTGAAGTATCTGCACTGTCATGATGCCTGTACGTTTGCGAAGAATTGCGAGAAAAGAAAACCCAAGTGTTGATGGTTGTGCTCAGGCCTTACTGTTTTTTTTCTTGGGTTTCTTACCTACCCAGCTGGACTGCTGCAGGTCTCAGAGAGGAGAAGTTAGCGGAAGGTCGTGGGAAGCATGTAGTTCTGGCAAACGTAGGGAGGGATTTGGTGGCTGCTCACCTACCAGCAGATTCCATGCTCATGATTGTGCTTCTGGGTCCTGAGTCCGAGGATGGTGTGGGTACCTCTCCAACTTCCCTCTCCGAAGCCTTGCCAAAGGCCTTCCCGAGCATCCACAGGGGCACCTCCTGTCAGTGAGCATCGCCAAGTACGCTGTGACCTCCCCAGGTACCCGAGGAGGGATCTGGTGGTTGTAGAAACGGAACGTCGGTGCCCTCAGAAATGGCTAGTTCCAGCTGACCTTGACCAGAACCAAGGTGATCTGGCCGCTGATGGTGTCCCGCTTCTGGGAAAAGACAGCAACAGACCGTGGGTCGCCCCTTTCCTCCCCCCATGCCTGCCATGAGGATGCCCATTAAGTTTCAGACCCCAAGAACTCAGGAAGGAGTCAGTAAACTTCCTAATTCCATAGCGCAATGCGTAAGAGCTCT